CTGAGCCAACTCGGGACCCCAAAGAGTTAGGAAACATAAAAGAACAGGGAATCCAGAAAATATCGTCTCCACTTAGGGGAAGCTAGGTTTCAAAGAAGATTGAGACTGTGACCTCTTGCCCCGTTATCATCCCTGGTTGCTGAAGTCTGAAGGCATCAAGCCATCTTACCCCAGCCACATACTGGTCATAAGCCTTTCTGTGACAAAGAGGGAAATCTTGTCATTTGCAACCATATAGATTTACCTTGAGGGTATCATGCATGCTAAGTGAAATAAGTCAGATAGGGAAAGATAAATACTGTATTATCTTGCTTAAATGTGGAATCTAAAACAAACAAAAAACAAACAAACAAACAAAAACTCAGAAACAGAGAGCAAATTGGTTACCAGAGGTGAAAGTGGGTGGAGGGGTGGGGGAATGGAGCAAGCTCACTGCTGGGGTGCCTCTCAGAAACCCAGAAAAATGATGGCCAACACTCAGCGAAGTGAAAATGCCTGAGTTGCCCTGGCAGAAGGCAGAGGAAGGAATCAAAAGATGCAGGGAGAAGGGAATGCCACATGGGTCTGTTATGTGAGGCCCAGAGAACTCTCCCATTCACCGAGGCCATCAGGAATACACTGGTGAGACGGGGCACCAAGATCGCTAACAAATTCAGTGAGGCTTCTCTGCAGACCAGGCTAAGCTTGGTAATAGCCATGAAGATGATGGGGCTCCTGATAGAAGCCAGATGGGCAACACTTAACTGCCAAAAGTTAAGGGGCCACAATTACTGTCAAATCACAGTTATTGTCAGGAACAGCCAAGTAGGCTGACCCACAGGGAGTTACGGAGATCGTTAATAAAACATCTGTAGGGACAACTAGATGAGTAACCATAAGGATGCTGCTTAACATCTACAATCAGAAGAAAACAAAAATGGAGGAACAGGGACTCATGGTGGTCACCCTAACAAAAAGTTACAATCCTTTGCTCAGTTCCCAGACCTGAGCCAACTTTCAGACCTAGAACCCAGCGACTGAAGAAATGGCCAGGTCCACAGGATGGAGTACCCCACAGCACTGTGACCAGTATGTATGGTAATGAGTCCCTCAGTCCTTCCCCATTTACTTGGGTGACTATGCACTTGGTAAAAGGAAATACTCTGTCCTTTCAAGGATTATTGGACATAGGTCTGAACTGACACTGATACTCAGAAACCGAAGTGTCATCAGCATCCTGCATCTTACTGGGGACCCATCCTCTAGCTCACTGAAGGTGGGTACACTTAAGACCAGCTGGAGGAGGAAATAAGCCAAGCTTGGTTTATGAATGTGGGAGAGAGGGGTGTTCAGTTTGTATGTGCAAGCTATAAATGGTTGGCAGCTGCATTCCCAGGCACATCCAGGAAGCAGCCTTCAGTGGAAAGGGGAAAATATCTCAGTAGGTGACGATCCGGGCAGTGCACTTGGTGGAAGGAGAAATGGCCCAAGGTCAGAATATATACAGATTCCTGAGCAGTGGCCCTGGCCTGGCTTGTTGGTCAGGAAACTGGAAGAAAAAGACTAGAAGGTAAGACACAAAGAGGTTGAGGTAGACATGTGACATGAGAATGTGCATGATATATGAAGACTTTTCTCTATCACTTGTTACCACCACAAGAAAGCATTCTCCATTAAAAAGGCACTGAAATACCAAGTGGACAGAATGACCTGGTCAGTTGATTTTAACTATCCTTCATCATCAGCCACCCTAGAACTAGGACAGACACATAAACAAACTAGACAGAGACAGAGGCTCTATGACGTGGACTCCTTCTTACCGACTGGCTTCTGTCCCCTCCAAGTGTTTAGCCAGCCAACAACAGAGCCAGCACTGAGCCCCTGACATGGCACTATTCCTCCACCACACCAGCCATCTTCCTGGTAGTAAGTAGAATATATCAGGCGCACTCGTTCCATCCTGGAAGAGCAAGTGGTACTTCCTCACAGGGATGCCTATTCCTTGTACAGGTTCTGCCTCTCCTGCTCACAGGACTTTAGCCAGCACCACAGGCATGAAATTCCACACAACTTAGCACCTGACTAAGGAATCCACTGCACAGCAAAGGAGGGATCCACGGGTCACATCACACACTGCACCATCCAGAAGCAGCTGGCCTTAGAAAACCCTGGAACAGCCTATTGAAGGTACAGTTGAAACACCAGCTTGGACGAAATACTTCTCAAGGATGTGTGCCATCCTTCAGGACACAGCACAAGCACTAAATCAGAGGTTTCTATAAAGTTTATGTTCCACTAGGAAGAATAAATGGGCTCAGGACCAAGGGATGGAAGCAAAGCAGCCCTACTCATCACACCCAATGAGCTACTTGGGTATTTCCACCTCACAACTCTAGGCTCTGCAAGATTAGAGGTCCTGGACCCAAAGGCAGTCTAACCAGGGACGCAGCAAGGATCCATTGAACTGTAAGCTACACCTGCCATGAAGGCACATTAAACTCGGTCCAGGAACTAGAAGGAAAGGAGCCTCCATTTTGGCAGGATAATTGATCAGCAGGAAGAAGCAGGGCTTCTTTTATGCAATAAGTGTAGGAGGAACCCAGGTCATCAAACCCAGGATGCTGGGTTTTCTGTAGGCTCTAGGGGAATCTCACTCATTCAGGTGTCAGCAAAGTCCAGTCTCATGAAATATAGGACCTAGGTCTGAGTCTGCTGGCCATCAGCTGGGGACCATAATTAGCAATCAGAGACCTCTCTCTGATCCCCATACAGTCCCCCACATCTCAGAAGCAACATCAAATCCTTCTCACACTGTCCTTTCTCTTTGATCACAGCTGGGGAGGGTTCTCTGCTTTTAAGTACTCATGTGATTAGATCAGCCCCACCTGGATATTCCAGGCTACTCTCCCAGCCCAAAGCCTTTAACGGTAACCACATCTATACAGTACATTTTGCCAAGTAAGGTAACGTGTTCACAAGACCCAGGGATTGCAACATGGATATCTGGGGAGATGATTATCCTACAGGCGCAGCTTGGTGCTCCCTTGCCCAGTTTTAACTGAACATGTGCAGCAAGCTAGCCTGAGAAAGGAATGATTACCAAAGGCCCTCAGGAATTAGTTTCACTCCAGTGGGTAAGTCAGCAAGACCTACCAATGTGATAATCAAGAATGAAGGGGATTTATTTTGTAGATGAGTTCATTAGTGTCCTTTTTCCTTTTTTCAGATTCCACATGTGATATCATATGGTATTTTCCTTTCTCTTTCTGGCTTACTTCGCTTAGAATGATGATATCTAGTCCATCCATGTTGCTGCAAATGGCATTATTTTATTCTTTTTTATGGCTGAGGAGTATTCCATTGTGTAAATATACCACAACTTCTTTATCCAGTCATCTGTTGGTGAACATTTGGGTAGTTTCCATGTCTTGGCTATTGTATATAGTGCTGCTATGAACATTGGGGTGCATGTGTCTGTTCAAATTAGAGTTCCCGCTGGATATATGCTCAGGAGTGGGATTGTTGGATCATACGGTAAATCTGTTCTTAGTTTTTTGAGGAAATCTCCATACTGTTTTCCATAGTGGCTGCACCAAACTACATTCCCACCAGCAGTGTAGGAGGGTTCCCTTTTCTCCACACCCTCTCCAACTCATCTACAAAGCAGAAACAGACACGCAGGCATAGTAAACAATCTTATGGTTACCAGGGGAAAGAGGGTGGGAAGGGATAAATCTGGGAGTCTGAGATTTGCAAGTGTTAGCCGCTATATATAAAATTAGACTTTAAATTTTTTTCTTCTGTATAGCCTTTAATGAAAAAGAATGAAAATGAATATATGTATGTGTGCATTGCTGTACACCAGAAACTGACACATTATAACTGACAGTACTTCAGTTGAGCATGAGGGGGAACCCTCAGGTCAAAAGACTAAAGGAAGTACTGCATATTAATAACTAAAAAAAAGGGGGGAATTTAGAATGTTTACTAAAGGGAGATGACTAATTCTGGCTCCGAAACAACCCGCAGCAATGGGAGTTGTAACTCATCCCCCTAATCTAAGCTTCCCCTAAGGAAGAGAGGCCCCTTGGGAATTGTGAAGATGCTGAGGGCATGGACCTATCAGCCACAAGAGGTGGACTGCAGGGGCCATGGAGGTATGCCACCCAGATCTCCTTTCAAGAGAACCTACTCCAACCACCTGACACCTCGTTTCACCTTTGGATCTACCAAGGTGTCACACTGAGGCCACACCTCCTGGCTGCTACCAATGACAGCACAGGTAGTAGGCCATTTCTTCCAACCTTTTCAGGGCCTCCCAACTGCTAACATTTTCTCAGAGATGTTGCAGCTTGAGTGAGGCTCTTCCTACCAAATCTTTTTTTTCCCAAATAATAGAAGCCAGGACCGTGGAGACTGGTAGCTCTAACATTGTCTTCTCAAAACTCACCTTTGCTGGGTTTGCAAACTTGAGTGGCCATCAGAATTCCTGGGTGCTAAGAACGTAGATTCCCTGGGTTCTATTCTCCCCACTCCCTCACCAAAAGAGCTCATGGACCTGTTAATTTACAAAATAGGTGACACTGATGCTAGTGGTTTGTAGATTACTTTTTAAAACAACAGGAGAGAAAAATAAGTAAAATAGGAAGAGGATATTCTTCTCTCTCATCCTGTTGGAGCAGGTATGTTCTTGTTCAAACTGCATAAGTAATGTTTGTCTTTGTGTTTAAGTGTAAAAAAAAGTACGGGAAAAGAAAGCAGTGGGAACAAGAATATACTAGAAGCACCATTAAAGGTCATCTCAGGATTCATCTGATGGGCTTTGAGTTACTTTTGACCATTCTCTGGAAGTAAGTATTTAAAGCTAAGGTGATGGTGTGACTGTATAAACCCTTCTTTGTTCCTCAGTTTAGTTCTTACAGAAGTAACCTTTTGGCTTCCTTGTCGTGCTGCATTATAGTAACAGACAGCTTCTGGCATAGGTAAATTTACCCTAACTAAACTTCTATTTTAACCCTTAGATTCATCATCAAAATGATCTTGACAGCTTATGCTTTTCTCTGTGATCAGCATCAGGCTCAACTTCTCTGGAGGTTTTATGTATGTATTCCTACCCTTGAGAATTCTGTGATGATAATCAGGCAATAACTGTGAGAAAGAAATGGGAGTGGGAGGAGAGGGTGAAAAGATACTTGGCAGACGCCTGCAGAAACAAAATAACACTGGCAGGCAGGCTTTAATAAGAAGTCCCACCCCTTTCCATTTACTTCTCACAAGTTTTTATCTTATCCTCCAAACCAAACATATTTACTGAAAATATATTTACTTCTTGGGATGGAAGTACCTGTCCTATTTTCCCTTTCTCATCAGAGACAGCTCCCTAAGAACCCAAAATATGTATACTATTTGTGTATGTATATATATTTATGTATATGTATTTATATACTTATGTATATATTTACACACTCTCAAACACAAACAAAACATGAATTCAAGTGATTGTTTTATATTTTCATAACATTTTAACATTTAATAGAAACTATATACAATAATTTTTTATTATATTTTACATAAGATAACCACTACAGAAATTTACATAGTAACATTAGAAGCAAGATGGATGGTTAAGGAGGGCCCAGGCCTGTGGGCTATTTTCTCAGAGGCTATAGGTGAGAGTTCATTGGGGGAAAGGGGTTCAGATTACCCAACTGGGTGAGAGGTAAGGAAAGGCTAAAAACACAGGCTGCTAGACAGAGATAATCAGCCATTGGGTCCATCAGTATCGCAAGATTTTCTTTACAAAAATCTCTCTCCCCTTAGGCATAGTCCCAGATACTCTCAATCCCAGCAGCTCTGACGGGAGTCACCTCTCTCTCTTCCTTGCCCAGAATGGGAAGACACTCACAACTTTCAGACACTATTGGTCCCTTCCCCCAACATTTGGCTTACGTTTGACCATAGCACTCAATAACCCAGAAGAAAAACCAGGTAGTCTGGGTTGTCCTTTAGTGAGAGATGGCCAGAAATGCTTGTTTAAAGAATGGGAAACACTAATCCTCCAAAGTCAAATGGTTCCCCAAAACAAACTATCAACTGATAGAAGTGGGCTCTGGCTTCCCATTTGCAGTAGCCACTCCACTCTGAGGCAGTGGTGCAGAGGCTTTCTCAGAAATTCGAGATGCCTGTGATCTGCACCCATCTCCAGCCATGTGCATCTGGCCCTGTTAAAAGAAAGTCACTTTGGTTACAAATTCATTCATTATGGTCTGAAGCATGAATCTGACTTATACAACACCCATGTATGGTAGCAAGCAGAACAAGGCAGCAAATATAAAGTAACTCTAGGCAGTTGCTCTTCCCCATACTTAACTATTCCCAGCCCTTAGAATCAGAAGGCATTACTTGTAGCATTCCTGAGGCCCTCCCAGTGGGAAAGTGGTCTATGGGTTGTTTCTTCCAAATGAAACAGCCATTCTCTGCTGAGGTTCCAGAACAGCCGGCAGATCACAGGAAGACAGTCCTTTGGGCCTCTGCTTGAAACCAAACAGCTGTAGTTTAACTGCTGGTCTTCAGTCAGGGCCATTAGTATCCCACCCAAGGCTCAAAGAATGAAGCCAAATCACACTGCTTGTGCTTAACTCTACGATGAAAACAATTCCAGTGCTGAAAGCAACAATTTACCTACATTCCTTGTCTCAACCTCTTCTAGTTAAATAAATTTGTGTCCTGCTCTCCAAGATATAGGGACCAGGGGCTAGTAAATGTTCTCTCCAAGGCCCAACTGGGACACCTTTACTGCTGGTGATGACAACCCACTCCCTGCGGGTACACGCTAGCCACAACCAGCAGGGAACCCTCTGCCTGGCTGGGGTGGTTCTTCACTTGCCAAAATATCCACTGGGCCTTCAGCAATTTCTTTGATTGAATGATCTTCAAGGGTTAGTGAAGGATCAAAAAGCAAGGGTGAAGGAGGGCACTGCATACCATCCCCCACAACATCCAAGTCCTACGAAAAAGAAAAGAAAAAAGCCGATCAGCAATACCAAGGGAACCAGTAAGCTGAAGCTGGCCTATTTATCAGCATACCTCACAGAAGATCCCCCATACTCACTCTCTCACCCCTCGCCTACCTTTAAACAAAAAAAGATTTCCCCCAAATGTCCAACAAGTGGGATAAAGCTGAAAAACAATGAGAATTTTCTTGCTGCCAAGTATAAAGCACAGACGACTACAGTAGCTTTAAACAGCACATTTTTAAAACAGGAAAATTCAGAGACAGAAAGTAGAATAGTAGTTACCAGGGGCTGGGGATCGAGGGGAACTGGGAGTTATAGTTTAATGGGTACAGAGTCTCTGGGCTGACAAATTCTGGAAACTGATAGTGGTGATGTTGCACCGTATTTTCAATGTGCTTAATGCTACTGAATAGTACATTTAAAAATGGTTAAATCGGTAAATCTTACATTGTATTTTACCATGATAAAAAAATTTTAAAAAGCATATTACTTCTAAGACTAACTGCAGTCAACATCTAAGTTCTCCAGTGATGAATCTAATGTGAACAATCTGCATAACTGCAAACTAAAATGAAATACTGCCTTTCTTTTAGATTGGACAATATGAGACCACTTTTCATCATGTTCTAATAGTCACAAAGCAAGCCAGTGAGCAAGAGAGCAAACGGGACAGGGGGAGAAAAGAGAAAGGACAAAAACTTAAAAGTCTTTCTAAATGGCTAGGAAACATTATTTTGGTTGAGTCCCTATCCCCACAGAGTAAGTCCCTGATTCTTAAACCTAACATAATCCAATTGCTCTTTAAAAAAAAACAAGGAGGAAGAGGGTATAAGCTCAGTGGTAGAGTGCATGCTTAGCATGCACAAAGTTCTGGGTTCAATCCCCAGTACCTCCACTAAAAAATAAAATAAAATTAATTTAAAAATACATAAACCTAATTACCCCCCCCCAAAAAAACAAAACACACCAGCAACACTATATCCTACAGACTGTTTCCTCTACCCGAGCCAGCCATTCCCATTGGGGTGCTGAAGCCGTCAGACCACAGGAAGACACTGCTCTCAGCTCCTGTCTGAAACCATCAGATACAGCAGTCTACTGGTCTCGATTCAGGTCCTAAAGTATTACCTCACAAAGGCTTAGACAATGAATGCATCAAGCTCACTTTCATGCCACTTTCTAAGCATCTACTGCTAAACTCTCCTTCCCAAGAGTAAAAGCTACCCAAGGGTTTGCACGCCCCTATGTCAAAGCCAATTTATAGAGGCTCTGTATTTCCAGCAATTTAGCTTCATGAGCAGCTACTTTAAATTAAGTCTAAAAGTTTGAAATCTTTTCCCTTTCTTTGCTGTGCTGATCACCAAAAACAATAACCACATCTCCAAGATAATTATGGTAAAGAAAATATAATTGAAGAACATACATAATTTAAACAGAAACATAAGGAAAAGGATACAGTTGGCAACCTAACATCTATTTCAAACGTGTTAGAAACTTCTGCATTATCCAAAGAAACCAGTGTTCCCACACCATTAAGACTGAACGCTGTTTTCTCCAGTGCTTTTAGTACACACACTTCTTATTATGCAGTTGATTCTTCAACAACCAAGGGGCTAGGGGCACCAACGCCCATACAGTCAGAAACCCATGTGTAAATGCCGTCGGCCTGCTGCACCCATGGTTCTGCACCCTCAGATTCAACCACCTGTGCATCAGGTAGTACTCCAATATTATGTACAGAGTGGACCCACACAGTTCAAACCTGTGTTGTTCAAGGGTCAGTTGTATAAATAATTAACTTGGAATTTAAAAGAAACCATTTAAGTAGTGCAGCAAAAGGTTTCCAAGTCTCAGGATGACAGTGGTATGGAAATTTTTCAAACAAAAGTAGATACTGAAAAGGCTTTTCTCACATTCAGTGTTGTCTAAGAATTAAAATTGGGAACAGGAACCTAAAATGAGAGAGGAAGAAAGGATCAGCAGAAATAGCCTCCCGTAAGAGGAATGTTTAGAGACATCAGGACACAAAGTATCAGGCAGGCCACGAAGACAGAATCAACATTTTGTTCTGGTCTCAAAAACAGCTCAAAAACCACACACACAAAAGAGAGCAAGCTCAAAGTAACAGGATTAAGGTATTAAATTGTTATTTGTCAAATATCCTTGGATCAAAGGACAGAAAATAAGCAAGTGTTAATATCTAGAATGAAAGGCTGAATTTTTACCCATATTAATATCTGATACCTGGTCCTCCCATAAGTATGGTTACCAGAAATCATTAACAAGTTAATAGAAATGATATCTAAGGAGGAATGCAAGTAATAAGTTAAGGCTGCTCGGTGAAATTCATATAATGACCAGTGTGGTTCATCTAAAGTACTAATATGAACATAGATGATCAAGTACAAATAGCTGATTATCATTTTTAAACCTCTAACAACATAGGTCCATCTAAAACACCCATTAGATTCTCAAAAATAAGGTTACTTCTCGTACTTTCTTTAGAAAATTCACATCACAAATAAGGATTAAAAAATTTGACAATACATTTTTAAATTTTTTAAAATTAAGATTCCTTACATTTCACCTTTCACCTATAAGCACATCTTATAATCTCTAATATTTTGTGTTAATATTCTCCAAAAACAAACATCTCCAAACATACTGGAACAGCCATATTTTCTCAGATCTAGATTATCAAAAGTTTGAGAAGGAAAACACTATTTTAAATATGGCAAAAACAGGTGAAAGGGGAAAAGCAAAAGTCAAAACAGAAAAGTTAGTAACCTAGTACATCTATGTAAAACACGCATTAGTTTCTACATATGTAATTAATATTGGAAGGGAGTATGGTGATATAGTGCTTTTAAGGTTACTTTTCAGGCCCTATAAAGCTGCTGATATTACTAAGTTTAAAAAAAAGACACCACCTCTGGGTTTTCGTCACATGTGAAATGAAGGGAGGTGGACAAAAATCTATCTTTATCAATCTAGGGCTATCTATTCATTTATTCTCTTCAACATAATCTCATTGGAAAAGTCTGGGAAGCACTGGGGTATATATAATCTCTAAGGTCCCTTTCCTGTTCTCATACTCTCTAAATCTGAAGAACTTTAAAAAGCCATTATAATCAAGATTTTTAAAAAACTGTAATTTTATTACAAATGAAGTAACAAAAATCAAGTCTACTAGCCTATAGTCAGTATAAAACCAAAGGGGGGGATTATGGGAGGAAAATTAGAATATGTTTATTCTTAATGCCACTTTTTCTTTTTCAGGTATTACCCTGTCCTTTTTTTAGTGAGCAATATTTAAGGCCACCCAAACCCTGTTTCTACCCTTAGCAAACAATCTTGCAACCTGTAGTGAAATTTCCATTTAGATCTCCCACTTTAAACATGTCATGGTTATATACAAGACACCTTTGTTATACAATTCAGAAGATTTATCTTCAGAATAAATAATGAAGATCTTTATCCAGAGGCTAAAGATTAAGCAAAGTGCCAAAACAGAGGTGGAATATAACAGGGTAGTGCTAATTAGGGAAACATGCGATCAGAGATGGGTTTATGGGCAGGAGCAATCCAGGAACAAGCTGAAAAGGTAAAGTGTACTATACACACTTAGAAGGCTATAAAAGTAAACACTTAGGGAAATCACTGTTCTAGTCCATTCACAACGCAATAACATATCACAAATGAAAAACAGTAGTCAGAGCTAAGTTTAGAGTCATTTTCCAGGGGACACATTAATTTGAAAATGAAAACCCTTATTACAGGGCCAAAATACAAGTTTACATTGTTAAGAGAAGATACCAGTTTGTCTATATTCTTACTCTCATATATTCTTAAGATTCTAGTGAATTACTCACCTTGTGAAAGGATACCAAATTTCCCAGCTACACAAATCCAACCATAATCGTGACTTCCCAACTTTCCTAAGTTTACAATTTCCCTTATCATTTCCCCAGGAACAAAACAAACAAAAAAACTTCTGCAAAATTTAAACTGTCTCTAAATGAATATGCTAACATACAAATACAACTACACAGACATCATTTCAAAACTTTTATCAAAGTTTTTTGTTTTTTAACCACAAAAGACTAACCTATTCTCGCCATTAATAAATAAGGCCTTTCCTCAAGGGCCAACCACAGCAGAGCTTCTCTAACTTACATCACTGAACTCCAGAGGTAAACTCTCAGTGGGCTGAAGCTCAGCAGCACTCAAGTACAGATCCATGGGGCCGGCTTCCAGATCGTCTGGCACAGACAGTACCTGCTCGGGCTTATACATCTGAGGAGGCAGCTGGAAATGCAGTGGGCAGCAGGGATCCTCAGAGAGGCTTACAGGAACTGGTTTGTTGCAGGGTACCTCTTCAGACCCCTGGCAGCATTTGAAGAGAACCTGATTCGTGTCCTGACAAATATCTGTAGAAAAACGGTCAAGGGAAATAAAATGCGTCTATCGAAGGCACAAAATAGCAGTCGTTTGCCATGTAAAATTCAAGGTGTGGACTACACAAGATAATTGTTTACATCTGATACAAAACCAAATGCAGGTAGCCATTTTTAAAGTTACTTCTCAAAATAAGTATCATTTACTAGCATAATCCTAGCTCTACCAGTAATGTATAAAACCAATCCCCAACCTCCACTTCAGGATCTAGTCATTTAAAGTAGAAACACCAATCTTGTTCTGTTCTCCCTTATGAGGGTCAAACACAAAACATTTGAAAACATAGTGCCAAGCAAATAGCAGTTAACAGTGCCAGAAATCAACACCTATTCAGAAGAAACATGTCATGGCAAATGCAAATAGCTTGCAGAGGCCCCTACCAACCCCTTCCCAAGAGCCACGAGATATGTATCATGTTGTTTCTGCTGTTAAGCAGATGGGCAAAAAGTTTATAAAACCTTCTTGAATCTTGTTTCCAAAATGCTTACATGATGCATCTGCTTAAAGCAGCAGTGTGTTGGGGGAAAACAGAAGCCCTAGTAATAGTAACTAGGTATCATATCCTGACAGGAAATAAATTTCCATGCCTCCTTTAATTAGGGGGGTGGTCACTGCAGGAGAGTCCGGTTATGATCCCAAAGAGAAAGAGAAGATGATTCTGTTTATGAGGGCCCATGGAAAGGAAGTGCTCCAGGAACACGCCAAGAGCTCTAACAACTCCTGTTAAGGGTAGCAGAAAAGGGCTATATTTCCAAGTTGGCAAAAAAGCTCTGTAGGATGAATCAAAATTGAAACCATGATTAGATAACAAAATTCTAATTCAAGTTACTCTATAAAATATATTTTACTCAAGTTTCACCATTTTAAAAAATCTTAACTACATGGTCATTTTCCCTAGATTAATAGACAACTGTTATTTCAAATTCGGGCTTATTTTTAAACCAGAAAGCACAATTTTCTATAAACTGATTGTACCCAGGATTATCGAAGTATGGGTAATTTTTGTACCCAAAACTTTAAGGTGATTTTTTTTAATTTAAAAAATATACATTATAATTTTTAAACCAAATAAAACCTCTGGAAGAAAGCCATTTCTTTCAATCCAGTCTTAGAACTTGCTAAACTCTAAACCAGGATTTCACAACCTTGGCATTACTGACATTAAGGACATCTGTGCACACTGCACAATGTTTATTAGCAGCATTCCTGGCCCCTGCCCACTAGATGTCAGAGCATGCCCAGCCCTGAGCTATGACGTACAAAAAATGCCTCCACACCTTGGCCGGGGGGGGGGGGGGCAGCAAAATGGCACCCAGTTGAGAACCACTACTCTAAAGGAACAGTAAATAGCTCAAAGTAAACAAATATGTATTGAATAAATCAATGATCAAATAAACATTGAATCTAATGGAACAATCAAATTTATAATTTCTATGTGCTTAATTAAGAAGCCCAATCTTATTTAAATTATTAAAATTTCAAACATTACTCCGATAAATGTTTTATGGAACTTTTTTCATGGAATTCAAAGGACTTTCACAGGTCTCGTTTATTTAAAACCACAATATCCTTGAAAGACCCTCCCCCCATCCTCCTCCACCCCCTTTCCTTTCCAATGGGGACAACAGACAAAGAAGGGAATGGTTGACCTACAACTAGAG